TTTTTGGTTTAATAATATAATATTTTATAAAGATAATAATTAAGTATTCTGTTAGAACTCAATGATTATCCTAATTATATTTTAGACTTTTTATATTTAAAATGAGATATTTATCATGTATTTGATTGTGTTTATCTACAGTTAGTTACACGAATTCAGATATGGAGCTTTAATAAGTTGTACCTACGTAAAATTTACTTGTAATCTTGAGTTTTAAGTAATATGCATTAATAAACAGTACTTACGCATAAAAAGTGGTTTTTAAGAGTTTTTGTCAAATGAATTATAATATATAATATTTTTTTATATATAATTTAATTTAAGTTTGAAAATAAAACAATTTATTTTTGGTTTAATATTATAAATTTTATAAAGATAATAATTAAGTATTCTGTTAGAACTCAATGATTATCCTAATTATATTTTAGACTTTTTATATTTAAAATGAGATGTTTATCATGTATTTGATTGTGTTTATCTGCAGTTAGTTACATGAATTCAAATATGGGATGAAATCGTTTAGGGATGAACGGGTTTAAGAGTTTTTAAGAATTTTTAAGAGTTTTAGTCAAATGCTTTATAAGATAGTATAGATATAGATACACACACACATATATAGGTGGAGGTTCAAACGAAAACACTTAGAGATGGCTAAATGGCCCAGTCAGCCTGACCCGAAACCAATTGGGATCGCCGGTTAAGAACAGGTCACGGTTTTTGTCAAAAAACAAGGCCCGACACGGACCCGTTTGGTACTGGTTATGGCCTAGCCCGGGACTGGCCCGACTTTTTGAAAAAAATTGTATTTCAAATGTATTTCTAACTTTCTAAGTGTATATGATTGAAAATCAATTACAAAATTATAATAAAAATACTTTTAAGTGTATTTTATTGTCCCATCCAATCTCTATTCACTATATATATGTCATATGGTGTATCAGAGAAAATACAAACTTACAAACGCTTGCAATTTTCGCAAAAAAACGTATTTTCAAGTGTATTTAATTGACTCAATTACATATTTTCATGTGTATTAAAATAAAACTTTTGTATTCTTTAAAAATAACTTCAAAAAAATTACGTAAAAATCGATTTTTTTTACATCAGAACGGTTTGGGCCCGGTCCCGGTCCATAATCGGGCCTCATACACCTTAACCTGGACTTTGTATTTGGATTGGGACCAGGACCAAGACCGAGATCGGTTACGGGATCACTATTTTGGGACCGAGACTGATTTGGGACGGTCGGTTCTGGGACCTGTTTTTGGCCATGTCTAAGAACTCTCCTGTTTTACAAGAATGCGAGAACAATCATGGACCTCCGGATCATTTAATCCATAATTAAAACTAAAAAAAATAAACTAATTAATTAAGGATGTAGACGTGATCATATACATAATATGTTAACTGATATTAAATCATTTAATAACTAACATATTACTATTACAACAAAATCATATACATGATATGTTAATTGGTATTAATAGCTAACATATTATTATCACAACAAAATCACATAATGAACAGACAAATCGATTTAATGTAGACGTGATCATCGTTAGTTTTCAATTATCACAACATTATCATATCACTATCACAAGAAAAATCACATAATTATTAGATGATTATCACATCAAAATTACATCTTAAAAAATCTTCAACTTATCAAATCATTATTACCGCAAAATCAGATAATTATCACAATATTATCAAATCATTATTGACAATGGACACATCGAAATAAAAAGTATCTCATGATAATAACAAAATTTAATAGATAAGAATAAATTTAGGATAACAGAAAATTATGGATAAATACTAATTAATTTTCATTTGTTCTGTTTTTTAATATATTTTAATTAGTTTGGCGGTCCAAAAGTGTTCTCGTATTTTCGTAAAATAGGGGTCCTCTCGTTTGAACCATTATATATATATATATATATATATATATATATATATACTAGAAGGGTACTCGCGCAATACAGCGAGATACATCTCGATTTTAATGTTTCGTTTCATTATGTTATCTATCAATGTTATAATACGGTTTTATGTGGTTTTATAAAAAAAACGATAATGTTCTTATTTTAAATAAAGTGTAAATTTGAAGATATCTTAAATTTTAAAATATATATATATATATATATGTATATATATATATCGATATTTGTATCAAATTAACTATTTAAAAGTTCTTGTTTTGTTGTGTAATTTATTTAATTCAATTTCTTTATTATTATTATTAT